CGTATTATGAGTTATATTTAACATTTATTTAATGCACGTATATTTGGCCTTCAAAGGGCCTGGGATCTAATTTTGTCCGGGGGCCCCAAAGGCTCTCAGTCCGCCCCTGAAGATGCTCAAAGCAAACTCTGCAAAATATTTAATCAACAGGAACATCGCAGCCTTCCAACAGGTTAAAGATCTTAGGGTTCTATTCATTAAAATAAATGAGTGACCTAAATTTTACAAAACAGATTTAATGAATAGATTCTGATTAAGGTTTTTTTTTGTGCCAACTGCAATCCACATGTAGCCATTACAAGAAACACCAATTGGTAAAATATGAAAACAGTATTTGGTAGATATTCCCTGATGGAAGAACGCATGCATTTATTTCTGCATATATTTCTTTGTGAGTATACAGTGAGGGGGGGGCAGGGAGGGGAATATTTGATCCCCTGCTGATTTTGAACGTTTGTCCACTGACAAAGAAATGATCAGTCTATAATTTTAATGGTAGGTGTATTTTAACAGTGAGAGACAGAATAATAAAAAAACAAATTCAGAAAAACGCATGTCACAAAAGTTATAAATTGATTTGCATGTCAATGAGTGAAATAAGTAGTAAAATATAAAAGATTAAGGTTAATATATCCAGAATTTAGGTGCTCCAATCACCAATGTGAGTCACTTATCACATAAAACAAATAAATCAATATACAAAGAATGTGAATGGTGAGAGCACACTATATAACTTTACCCTTATGGTACATAAAATCCCTTGGGAATCTAAAATCAAGGAGAAAAAGAACATATAGGGTAATAACGAAGCAATTATAATTCTTAAAAACTGTAGATGGTCAAACTCACATGGTCATGAGCCACTTATAAAAGCTGACTCAGACTAGCAGCACATCAAATCAGCGTGTGTAAAATGGAACTCCAAGCTAAATTCACTCTGTGGTCCTTAGTTCAAACTGCTTCAATCAATTCTGGATGCAGGAAATGATGAAGTATAATAAAACACTTTTATTCCACATACACTAAATAGCTGGATACAAATAAAACAAACACTGATATTATAAAAAGTCCTCTTTAAAACAAAACTTGACGTGTTTCGGCGTATAGCCTTTTTCAAAAGTTCATCCATCTTCCTCTTCCTTTCTTGTTTAAATACCTTTCTTTTGGCGCTCTTTTCTTCCCGCCGGCTGTGATTAATTCTTTCTTCCGGCTTCCAGTGTGCGGCCGCATCCACGCCTCGATCCGGCGTCTAGCCGCATCCTCCTCACTTCCGGCGGCATTCTTACTCGTAACGTCACCTACGTATGACGTCACGACGTTCTCTTTGTGTTACCGTCGCGACGCATACGTCAGGGGGCGGGGTATTATACGCTAAACTCGTTTGCCCACTTCAAAAATTAGTTATATAAACGTCCAGAAAAGGGCAAAAATGTCAACTTTACATCTAATCCCATTATACATTATATATTATATTATAATCATACATTTACACATTTAAAACATTTAGAATTAAACCATCCGGATGTACTAAAAAGAGAAGGGCAAAAGGGAAAAATATAAGTGAATTAACAACATATTTATATTCATAAATTACAAACATATATAAAAATATATGTGAAAAAGGGCATTGAAATCAACCCAATATTATACACAGTAAATGTATAATTAAAAAAAATATATATATATATTTTAATATATACATACATATATATTACCATATACAAAAGATAAAGGGTCTTCAAAAAGATATTAATCCGTATAAAAGACTTATAAAACATTTGATAAATAATAAAAATAATAATAAAACATAATATTATAAAAAATTGATATTTAAAATTAAAGTTAAATTAACTTTATAAATATGGAGTGATTTCAAAGTCCACATTTAGACCCTGTGGTATTAAAGTATCCATATTAAAAATCCACTTCATTTCCGTCCTATTAAGTAAATTTTCTTTATCTCCACCTCTCCAATGTATATCTACTTTTTCAATTCCTACAAAATCTAGGTATTTTGGATCGCTATTATGATACTCCATAAAATGTTTAGAAACACTATGATTCATGAACTTACGATTAATATTATAAATGTGTTCCCTGATCCTGATTTTAAGACTACGAGAAGTTCTCCCTATGTACTGTAGTCCACATGGACAGATTAACATGTTTTATAAGTCTTTTATACGGATTAATATCTTTTTGAAGACCCTTTATATATTGTATATGGTAATATATATGTATGTATATATTAAAATATATATATATATATATTTTAATTATACATTTACTGTGTATAATATTGGGTTGATTTCAATGCCCTTTTTCACATATATTTTTATATATGTTTGTAATTTATGAATATAAATATGTTGTTAATTCACTTATATTTTTCCCTTTTGCCCTTCTCTTTTTAGTACATCCGGATGGTTTAATTCTAAATGTTTTAAATGTGTAAATGTATGATTATAATATAATATATAATGTATAATGGGATTAGATGTAAAGTTGACATTTTTGCCCTTTTCTGGATGTTTATATAACTCATTTTTGAAGTGGGCAAATGAGTTTAGCCTATAATACCCCGCCCCCTGACGTATGCGTCGCGACGGTAACACAAAGAGAACGTCGTGACGTCATACATAGGTGACGTTACAAGTAAGAATGCCGCCGGAAGTGAGGAGGATGCAGCTAGACGCCGGATCGAGGCGTGGATGCGGCCGCACACCGGAAGCCGGAAGAAAGAATTAATCACAGCCGGCGGGAAGAAAAGAGCGCCAAAAGAAAGGTATTTAAACAAGAAAGGAAGAGGTAGATGGATGAACTTTTGAAAAAGGCTATACGCCGAAACGCGTCAAGTTTTGTTTTAAAGAGGACTTTTTATAATATCAGTGTTTGTTTTATTTGTATCCAGCTATTTAGTGTATGTGGAATAAAAGTGTTTTATTATACTTCATCATTTCCTGCATCCAGAATTGATTGAAGCAGTTTGAACTAAGGACCACAGAGTGAATTTAGCTTGGAGTTCCATTTTACACACGCTGATTTGATGTGCTGTTAGTCTGAGCCAGCTTTTATAAGTGGCTCATGACCATGTGAGTTTGACCATCTACAGTTTTTAAGAATTATAGTTGCTTCGTTATTACCCTATATGTTCTTTTTCTCCTTGATTTTAGATTCCCAAGGGATTTTATGTACCATAAGGGTAAAGTTATATAGTGTGCTCTCACCATTCACATTCTTTGTATATTGAGTGAAATAAGTATTTGATCCTCTATCAATCAGCAAGATTTCTGGCTCCCAGGTCTCTTTTATACTGGTAACGAGCTGATATTAGGAGTGTAACGAATGTTGGTATTACAGATACCCGTTCATCTATTTTCTCCCGAACTCAGATTCCAAACTCTCCACCATGGCCAAGACCAAAGAGCTGTCCAAGGATGTCAGTGACAAGATTGTATACCTAACTGTCAGTCTTCCATTGGTCTGGTGTTCCATGCAAGATTTCACCTCTTGGAGTTTCAATGATCATGTAACCCTGATTCTGAAAAAGCCCAACCTTGACCCCAACTCCCCATCCAACTACGGCTCTATCTCGCTACTGCCATTTGCCTCCAAGATTCTCAAGGGAGTTGTGCACACCAGATTGACTGACATTCTCGAATCCAACTCTCTGCTTGACCCCCTTTAGTCTGGATTCCACGCTGGTCATTCTGTTGAAACGGCTGTGACCAAAGTATCCAACGATTTAATTGCTACTAAATCTCGTGGCCATTACTCTATCCTAATTCTCCTTGATCTTTCTGCTGCCTTTGACACTGTTGATCATCAACAGCTTCTTAGCATTCCCCCGTAATTTTGGTCTACGGGATACTGCTCTCTCCTGGTACTCCTACTACCTCTCCCAGTGCTCTTTCAGTGTTTCTTTCTCTGCCTCTGCCTCTTTCTCCCAACCACTCTCTGTCGGCATCCCCCAAGGTTCTGTCCTTGGTGCTCTACTGTTCTCTATCTTTACTGCCTCCGTTGGT